AATATGCATCGTTTTATTTAATTTTATCTTTTTGTCAATATTTGCAAAGAGGAGTATCAATTCATCTTGCACATTTATGGCTGCTTGGTATGGTAAAGCAATTTATGGGTGGTTTGGCACCTGTTTTCTCTAAACTGGGTTTTTTTGTTTTCTAGATTAAAATGTGTAAAAATATATGTTTTCTTTGTTGGGGGCACAAGATCATATAAATATAATGGAAAAAAATTATTTTTAACGTTTGGCAATATATATCAATTTTAACCCTAAACTTTTAATTTTACAAAATTGCATATTAAACTTGGATAACTGTTGTCATCTTCCCCTTAAACTTTTTGGAGGGTAGCAAATTGTACTTATGATAGACTTTAATTTGAAAATTTATAAATTAAAAATTATTTTGCACCCTTAGGTGTTGGCGCAGTGGTAAGAGGCTTTGGTCTTGACATTTAAGATCCAAATTCGAGCTTTTATGTACCTTAAAATAAATTTAACATTTTGGTATGAACTCAAAAAAAAAATGAAAATTTGTTAAAAAATCATTCCCATGTGTTAAATGAATTATAAAACATATATTTGGTATGAAATTGGTAGGATTCAAACAAAAATGACATTAGGTTTGACTTTTTTTTGTGTTAATTTGTAAGCTYCAATGATAGTCCGTCATTAACCAGACAAATCACTCCACCAACTAAGAATGACCATACACCATCATCCATATAATCAAGAAAGAGCTCTCTCAGTTTGTCAATCCTTACTATGTCRGGACCTGGTAAGTTTTTCCGTATTGAGTCAAATTAAGTCGCAAGCGACGAAGTTATTTCATAGTCAATTTTTTGCATTAATCAAACTTAATTCGCAAAAACTTTAAGTTTTTTTTGTTAAATTAGCGAGTTTTTTTTACTTTGTTTTTTGTTTAATTTAATGAATTAGTTAATTGTAAATTAATAGATGATAAAAATTGAACAATTATCAGTTCAATTTGATAAAATTAAAAGTTTATATTGAAAGTTGATACAAGTGGTCTAGTTTAGAGGTAAAATTTATTTTTCCTCATTATAATTTTTGATTCACTTATAAACATTCAAATCCAACGAAAAGGAAAAAAAAAAAGTGTTCTAGGGAAAAGAAAAAAAATTCAGCTTCAGGGAGGAACTGACATGTTTCGAATCTTATAACACAATGTTAATTTTTTATCGGAAATAGAAACGTTATTCGAGCATTTCCTAAAAATAATAATATATAAATAAAAATACTAGTTTTCAAACACTGTATGAATGGCCGTGCTGTGAGCCAATGGAGAAGCGCGGAAATGGGTTGGGTAGGTCATGTGGGGGCCCTGCACTTCCACTCTCTTCTTCAACCTCCGAAAATCACTTCACTTTCCACCTCCAAGAAGCTCCAGTTGCTTCAGCCTTCACTCTCTCGCCGCTCCACGATTTGCCCATTGTCATCTCGGAGGTAACGCCCAAATTATGTTTTCCATTGATTTGATTCTGTCTTCGTCTTTCAACGATCGCAGCTTTGTGGGACTTGGATTTTGATATATCATGCACGCCAGGTGTTTGATGAAATTACTCTGAGAATACTTTTGCCTGCTGTGCTGACATTATACTTTTTTTTCTTTCTTTTTGTACTTTCTCCCAATGTTAGCTGTCGTTGTCGATGACATTTCGATCCTCAGTCAAAATACGAATTAGAATGAATATTGATGTCGACACAGATGGCAGATGAGATGTGGAGACAATGGATCCAAAAGATTAATGTATTTACAAATTTTAAAATATTTTTTTATATTACCGTTGCATTTTTTATTTATAATTTGCCTCTTTCTTGCATCCCTTATAATTGTTTGGATTGGATCAAACATTATTGTGATGGAGAATAAAGGGGTTACCTGTCATTTGTTTTTTCTCAGTATTGTGATCAGAAAATTTCTTAGATTTTAAGTTTAAGAGGAAATATCCAACTAAAATGGGTGTATGATGCTCGTACGTGTCCCTCCCGTTAGTGAGCTTCACAAAGATCAATTTCGACTCATTTCCAAGGCTGGCATTGAAATAGAGGCGAGATGTTAGAATTGGACAACACTCTGTATTCACAAAGAGTATCAGGGGTGGAATGACAAATAAACCCTTTTGAGGCTCCGGCCGAAGAGCTAATGCAAAATGCCTCATGCATCATAATGCATAAGGGCGAAAGAGAATTGAAACAAGAAGAAGATTGGAATTCGTAGGTCTTGCCCACAGAAAGATGGAAAAGAAAGACGGAAAGAAATGAAGCAGCTTCAATATCTTTTTATCAAGGGTGAGGTTTGGAACCCATAGCAAGCAAGTTTGCCCCTTTTATTTGTTGTGGGTGGCGCCTCACTGCAGGCACCTCCTTGTTCTCTAACTGTTTTTGCTGGTTTTAAAAGACGAGACAAGCTACCTTTAGCTAGGAGAAACATATATTCATCATATACAATCATCATATACAAGGGGAATATTAGGAGTTGACAGAAGGTCAATGAGGGGAGGGGTGAGCAAACCTACTACCCCATAAATTGGCAAAACTTCTAACACTTTTTGTTGCAGGAATTAAAGGTTCGATTAACAGAGGAACAATGATTAGGGTTATGAGGGGAGAAAAAAATATTAGTATCCCTGAGAACAAGACCCTTCTTCGTTCTCTTGTCTTTCATTTGTCTTAAAAAAACCGAGGAGATAGAGGATGGATCAAAACATGTTTCATGTATTATATATGTATCATACATTGCATATTAAGGTTTGCAAAATGCATTTTGAACTTGATTGAATTTGGCAGGTTCAGTATACAAGCTACTGCAAAAAAAGGATTAAGCACTTCAGCACTTCCAATTGTAGCAAGAAAGGAAAATAATGGAAATCTTGTAACTGAGAGGTATGTTTTTTACTTCATCCAATTTAATCGTTTTAACCATTCTTTGCTAATTTAGAGTTTATTCTTAGTGGTGAATTTTCGAGGAATAAAATTGACTTTGTAGTAGATCTTTTTGATTGGTTGATGTGCTGGGGTTACGTTGTTTTATTTAATTAATAAAGATGTGTTCCCGTCAATTATAAAATTGATTTTTTTTTTACAAGATAATCTGTTTATTTTTTAAAAAATATTTCAAAGGTAACATACAACCTGTTATTTAATATTTTGAAAGAAAAAAACATAAAAAAAATCAAACAGGTAACTTTTTTTTTCTTTTTATGGTTATATTTGAAAAGTAATAACACATCTGAGGATTTTAATTTTATATATAAGTAAAATTATATATATATTTCAAAATTTTTATTATTGTTACTTTGATTGTGGTTAATTTAAAAACTAAACATTTTTATTTAATATAATTAATTTAAATTAAATAGTATTTATTTTACTATTACAGTACAATTTATATTTTTATTAATTTGAAAATTAAATATATTCTTTTATTTTAATATTCGTTAGCTTGAAATTATATATATGAATCTAAAATAAACTCCTCTTCTTTTAAATCAAAGTTTTTAACTACCATTATTTAAATAAGGATAAAAAAGAACAATTATTTTTTTTAAAAAAATTTTACCTTTTCACTCAGAAATTAAGATTAAATTTAAATATTTAATTAATTGGATGGAATCAAATGTTGAAATTTAATTATTTAAGTTTAACATTCTTAAATTTGTTTTATATCAAGACATAAATACATAAAAATAAATTATAATTCATATGAATATATATTTTTAAATAAAAAAATATAAATGTTTATAATTATATTTGAAAAAAATTGTATAATTCTATATTGAATTAAAAAAAATCTTCGCATTATAATACTTCAATATTTTCATTAAAAAAAAAGGAAAAAAGATTTCAATACTTATAATTGGGAGAAAAGAGACGAAATCGAAGCAATTAATTTGTCAAGAAAAATTGAAGCAATTAAATAAGAAGTTAAATAACGAAAATAAGMGGAAGAGATGAGAGAGTAAATAAGAAGAAGTTAAATAACGAAAATAAGAGGAAGAGATGAGAGAGTAATGAATGATAGTAAAACAGCGGTGAGTAGATAGAGAAATCAGGGGAGAAAGATGATGGAAAAGATATGTAAGAGGGTGTAGAGCCCATTTCAAAAAAGAGAAAATGCTTTGCTCTGCCTTGAGAAGATTGTGTGAAAAAAGGATCATTTTAAACACCAGGATTGTTATCACTAATGAGAGTGTTTTTAATTATTTTATTAGATAAGGGTTTTGAAAGCCAAATTCTTCACAGGTATGCAGTAGTGACAGGAGCAAACAAGGGGATTGGTCTTGAAACAGCAAAGCAACTTGCTTCTCAAGGCATAAGAGTAATTTTGACAGCCAGAAATGAGCAAAGAGGACTAGAGGTCGTTTCAAAGCTCCATGAATTGGGTTTGCCAAATGTAGTCTTTCACCAACTTGATGTCTTGGACCCTGTCAGTATCGACTCTTTGGCCAAGTTCATAGCAGACAAGTTTGGCAGGCTTGATATCTTGGTAAGCGTTTAAATTATTCAATATCATTTGTCATTTGGGTTGCAAATTAAAGAGGAGAGTAAATAAAGGAAAACAATAAAAAAGAAATTATTGTACAAAAGCCTAGGCCGTCATTTCACTTCACTAATCTCTTTCCAAGTTTCTTTCTCAGGTATTAAATTAAATAGCAAGTTTCTATATTCCTTTAATAACTTAAACCAAACCTATCAAAAAATAAAAATAAAAATTATGTACAAGGAAAGTTCATAATAACTACATAAAGATATTTAATCTCAAATCATACTAAAATTCATTCTTCTCTGTGGCCATTTATACCCAAAGATTAAAAAAAAATACCATATCTACTCTACGTGGCTCTCATTTTCTTTTTGTTCATCTTGAATTGATTTGTTTACTGTTACAGGTAAATAATGCTGGGGCCTCTGGAGTAGTGGTTGATGAGGAAGGATTAAGGGCTTTGAACATAGATCCGTCCTCTTGGGTATTATTACATTTCTGCTAATACATTCAGATGTTTTCAGAACTTGTTTGGAAGACTGTTTTCATTTATTTTTATTTTCAACACTATTTCCTAAAAACTGCATCTTTCTAAAAATCAGAATTATTGTGTACTTGAAACACTATTTATATAGAGTATCTATGGAAGCAAACTTTTTTCACCAGTATTTTATGTGTGTGAGTTTGTGAGAATCCATCTCATACATGATTACACTTAATTAAACACAGCTCTCAGGCAAGGCGACGAACTTGGTTCAGAGTGTGATAAAGACAAACAATGAGAAGGCAGAAGAATGTCTCAACACAAATTACTATGGTCTTAAAGGAGTAACAGAATCTCTTCTTCCACTGCTACAGAAATCCTTGGGAGGAGCAAGGATTGTGAATGTCTCCTCTCTCAGAAGCGAATTGAAGGTAGGCATCCCCATTCTTTATATACTTTGACAAGTGTTCATGGTTCTGTTTCAACTTTTTTTTTTATAGCTAAAATAACCTTTAGAAGAATGAAAATTTTCTCTCATTTTTTAAAATCTTTTTCACTTATTGGTCGGTTGAAGAGATAAAAATTTGTCCCCTTTGATCCCATAACGTTTGTATATCATCAGTATTTTTTAGAAGTTGGAAAATCACTAAAGTGTAATGGTCATTAGAGTTTGAATACACAATTTGATATTAATAACAATTAAAAAAAAAGTGACAAAGTAAAAAAGTTGACTGTCAAGATTAATTTATTTAAGTAACGAGTAAGCCAGCTATACTATTGGAATCTTAAAAACTGCCGTTGGTTGATATATTTATCATGATGAGCTTAATATTTACGTTATTTCTGTATCATACTTAATTATTATACTATGAAATGATCATTTCAACTTTTTTTAAGAAAAATGTAATCATGTGGTCAATTTGATAGCTATTTTATTTTACTTTTTAAAAAACAAACTCATTTTCCTATCATCCTTACGTCTTCTGATCCACTCCTTGAAAGCAATTTCGAAGTCTTAGTCAAATTGGGAAAAGAGAGGTTTCGAAAACCTGTTTTTATTTTTGAAACTCGATGGTAAAGTGTTCTTGATGGAAACTTAACAAATGAATTGTGAGAAAATAAACCTTAATTTGTCGAGAGAGAACAAAAACCAGAAATCATATTCAGATAAGGCCAGAATTATTTGACCATGGAGTTACTGTTTGGCAGAGAATTCCAGGTGAGCACATACGAAAAGAACTGGGAGATGTTGCAAATCTGAGTGAGAAAAAGATAGATGCATTGTTGAAAAGATTTCTACATGATTTGAAGGAAGATAGATTAGAAGAAAATGGATGGACAATGATGCTTCCATCTTACAGCATCTCCAAGGCCTCAGTGAATGCTTACACAAGAATTCTTGCAAGAAAGCATCCAAAAATGTATATCAATTGTGTTCATCCAGGCTATGTTGATACTGATATCAACTGGCACACAGGAACAATGACGGTTGAAGAAGGGGCTAGAGGTTCTCTCAAGTTGGCTCTTTTGCCTGATGGAGGCCCCACTGGCTGCTACTTTGATCAAACTGAATTGGCAGAGTTCTAAGTCATTGCTGCTATGGTTTGTGTTATGATCCCACTGTTTCATTTGGAACAAGGCTTCACTTTTCTCATCTTCTTCTTCAATTTTGTGTTTGTTTTATCAAGTTGGCTCTTTTGTCAGATGGAGAGATTCCATGGGATGCTACTTTAGCCAAATTGAATTGACAGTGTTTTAAGTCATTGCAGTTATGATTTATGTTGTGACTCTGTTATTTCATTTGGAACAAAGTTTCAACTTTTGACTTGATTAGCGACTAAGTTCCCATAGGATGGAAATTGAATGGGAAAAGTTTCAGCCCAATTCAACTTCTTTAGTTTGTGTTTGTTCCATGATGTTGGTTCTTTTTTCAGAGAGAGGTCTCACAGGATGCTTACTTTTTTGCAACTGTGCTGAATTTGTTATGATCCCATTATTTCATTTGGGATAAAACTTATCTTTCTTTTGATTTGTCAAGTTCTTTTTTCAGATGGAGGTCCCACAAGATGCTGCTTTGATGAGGAGAAAAAAAAAACTAAAATGATAGCAGCTAAACCTGCTGATTAAATGTGAGTAATGAAATCTAAATGGGTCATCTCGTTCTACAATAATTGATTAAAAGTGAGTTAACTGCATGATCTACAATAATTTGGAAATAGAAATATTTTGAGTATTAACTTTCTATGTAGTATTATCATGCAGCTGCCTGCATAGAAGAGTCACTTCCTCTATAGTGTTGTCACATAAGAAAAGCACGTTAGCTGCTGGCCAAACGAATCGAAGGAAAAACGAGCATCAAAGTTGAGTGAGTTTATTTGACTGTTTGCAGCATGGGGGTGGATTACCAGAAAGCGGCGCAATGCTGCGTTTTAGGTAATAAAATATCATTTAGGGAGCCAAAAGTAGTCTCTGTATGCAGAGTTAGAGAACTGAAAAAAATATATAATAAACCTGCAAATTTGTAGAATTGAAAGAGCTTCATAGAACATTAGAATCTAGAATTTCCAACACTCTTTCATTCAGTCTAAATCATTTGAAAAGAACAGTTTTAAATCATCAAAATCTCCATACCAGAAATGCTGGAAACTGCTCATTTGAATCCAAAAGATTTGAGAGATCCCAGGAACAATATAATTAGCCAAAACTTTGCAACTTTAAGTTCCTCCAAGGTTCTCATATTGCAAGACAAACATAGGCCATTTGTTAGGGAATCCAACTCACAGCACTTCAAAAACTGGCATTTCAGATAGCAATCTCTTTCTCGTACTTACCACAAATTGAGGTAACTACACGATGGGCTCCCGAGAGCGAATGTGGCATCTCGGTCCAAGTAATTAACACCTCGAGCTCACATGGAGCTACTAACCTTGGTTGGTTGAAGCTAATAAAGGAGTCTCTTCAAAATAAATCTTGAAGGTCAAGGATATCAGCCAAGACACCAGCTGCAGTAGTGTCATTACCAGCTCCAGCGCCTTGAATGACAAGAGGTCGTTCGTTATAGCATCGGCTGTAAACCACCAACTGCAATTGCACAGAACGGTCAATAGTCAACTTCCACATATACCGATTTCATCTAAGAAAATGCTAGAGTTTCTTTACAATTAAGACCACGGCAAAAAAGGGTAAAGGTGTTACTTATTCCTCCTTTCTATGTGCATAGTGATCAAACTATTATTTTCTCTGTCAAACTTTCAAGAAGGGTTCTGAATCAACATTCAAAAACGAGTTATAGCATAGTTCAATTTAATGCGACGTACATCTTAACCTTCGGTATTTATAGTAAATTAGCAACGGTAGGCACTCTATTTTGAGTGGAGTGTCGATGTCAAATCTAGATACGCTTTAAACATATGATTTGGAGTACCACCTAGGATAGGCGGGAGATATATTTAGTAGTTCACTGATGATATATTTTCTTCTTCCAAACCAAATTCCAAAATAGTTTTTAAAAAATATTCTACCAACTATGTCTCCTTCGAGTTTAGTGTCCAAACTTTTTCAAAAAATAGGCATGTTCTCAATGCCTTTGTTTATGTCCATATTTGTTAGGATCTTGAATGTAAGAAAACAACAATGTAACTAGTACAACATCAATGAAAAATTATAATAATAATAGCCTTTCGAGAAAGTTATCGCTCTCCCACGATCCGCTATGGATGCATATTTCCCCAAAATTATGTCAATCTTCCTTCTCTCTAACTTTCCCTATTTATATCCTAATAATACTCCTAATAATATAATATGTCACTACTAATATCCTAATAGTATTTTCAATATATCCCTATTAATACTCCAACAATATCATGTTCATGTAACTTAAATAGTACATAAAAGATAAAATCAACTCAAGGAAATTGTAGGGCTAGGATGCGATCTATATCATAAACATTATAATGTAACACATGCAATGCAACTTCATTGGGTTTTTAGGTGGTTGGGAGGTGCTTACCACATTGTCACTTCCTCTCAATCTTCCCAATGGAGAATCTTTGGGAAACTCTTGGAGTCCAACTTCACACCTAACCAATAAACAAAACAAAACAAAATCAAGAACTCTGACCAATATAGTTCAAAAGATACCCATGACACTASCAATATCGAGCACCCGCTATAGTCCCAGACCGTAGAGGCCAGCGAGAGGGAAGGGAGAAAACAAAAAGTTTGGAGAGAGGAGGATGGGAGAAATTAAAGGAGAGAGGATAGGCATGAAAGGGAGAGAGGTGGAAAGCACCTCAAGGGTTGTCTCCTAATACAAACCACATAATCACATATTTGCTGGTCAGATACCTAAAAGCTAGTGTTTACTAACTAGAGAGACACAGATAAATTTTATCTAAGACTAAAATTAATTTGTCCTTTCAAACACATAAAAGTTGAATTGTCCTTAATTATTTGTTGTTTATCTTTCCTTCTTAATAATCTAAGATGAGGATAAACAATTGTAGCTAAATAACATTTTTGTCTACTCAAGGCAAAATAGAACGTATGCAATACTTGTAACATAAAAGACAAAATCAAATGTACAAATAATAATACCTCGAGCTTGAGCACTCAACCATACAGGCATAACGTAACACATTTCCTCTTAAGGAAGCCTTGGTAACTCTCTCCTGGATGTCATTGTCTAGCGATAAAACTCCACTGTCTAGAAAGTGATCAATAGGCATAACATCAGGTCCCATTTCTTTCGGAAATAAGCTTTCGACCTAAGGAGATGAACTATCATTAGGGCAGGGCAGGAAATTCAACACAAGGGGATGGATATACATGTACAAATGTTATGTTTCTTTTTAGGTTAAATTACGAGTTTAGTCCCTAAAAATTTTAAAATTATGTCTAATAGGTCTCTGACGTTAAAAAGTGTCTAATAGGTTCCTCAATTTTCAAATTTGTACCTAATAGATCCCTGACTATTAAACATTTTCTAAAACTCACAGACTTATTAGACACAGAATTAAAAGTTCGGTGTCCGAATACATACAAAATTTAGGGACCTTTTAGATACATATTTTTTCAATTTTGTGTCTATCAGGATCGTAAATTTTTAAAAATGTCGAAAAATTCCAAGGACCTATTAGACACAAAATTAAATTTTAGGGATTTATTAAATTAAAATTCAAAAGCATAGACACAAGATTAAAATTTTAGGCACTTATTAAACACTTAGGAACCGATTAGATACAAAGTTGAAAGTTCTATCGCCTATTAGATACTTTCTAAAGTTGAATGGCCTATTATACACAAGCTTAAAACTTCATAAACTAAACTTGAAAGTTAACCTTCTTTTTACAAGAAACTTTCAACGTGATACGCATTTGCTAATTTGCTTAACTATATTATATAAATGCATGCCTTATGTTTCATATGCCTTTCTAATCATAGATACACACTGTCTAGTGTGTATATATTTTTACTTCACGAGAATTCTAATCATAAGCATGAGAGTTCTTCAAATGAAAGAACATCACTTCTAACACTGACCTTAATATCATCCAAGTCCATCTGCTGACCAAGAAGTCGGGCAAGGATCAGAGCCTATTTATATATAAACATAAATAAGTAAAGCAACTACATGAAATCTTCTAGTCCAGTTTTAGAATCTATTCAGAGTTTATTTTGCATAAATAATGGATCTTGTTAGCAGATAAAATTTATAGGACTGTACTTTAAGATAACTTGCTCGAAGATTAAAATTTGAGTAAATGACACGCAACATAACAGAATGTCTCTACATTGTAAATCGAGGGACAAAAATAATGATAAGAGAGAGTGCCAAGTTCAATCTTAAGATATTTGGAGCATAAACATTAAGGAAGTGCAATGATGACGACTTAATTTTGATGCTTTAGATATGCAAAAATGCCATCAAAATAGCTTCCTGCACTTAATGAATGAAAGAAAAGGAAATACAAAGGTTCTGAGTGGTATAGAGCTCTCCACGAAAAGCTAAACAACTACCTCCTTACTCTTGCTATACTATTGCCCTATATACTTGACTACTTGTTCCTACATAATTCCTTCCCACAGTCCCTATTCTCTATTACAAAATATTCCCTTCCGGCACATAACTAACTCTCCCTCACTCATGTTATTTTCCTTATGCACTCCCCCTTGTGTAAGTGGAGCGTACCAATATTCGATTCTACCTATCACATTTCAATTCACGTGTCTTTTGTTTCATTGCTTCAGATGGATTTTCGAGGACCGATACATAATTCTAGAAAAATGTGGTATGAGATTGTTTGAACTACAAGATCAAACAAGTTGGCAGCAGAAATCATTCACTAAGCACAGGCACTTAATATCAGAAATCATGCGCTAAAACCAAACCTTTCTTGCAACATCCATACCCCCGAGGTCATCACGTGGATCTGCAACAATGCCATTATAGAAAATAAGTGTGTTAAATTTTCTTACCATGCATAAAAAGATAGATAATGTAGAACACTGAGGACATGTTTACACGTGTGCTCATCTCTATGAACTCAAGCATGTGTTCCATTTAAAAGTAACCTAATCCTTCATGTGCTTTTCTAACAATTCATTTTCTTCTTAAGTCTTTTCACTCAAAGTACCAATAAACAAGGTATAGAACACAAATTGCCTCGTAAATTTGCATAATTAAGATCATATTCCCCATTGACTACTATTCAAGTTCCATATGGTCTGGGATAGTATCATTTTGCATTTAGATATATTGGGGATTGTAAAGTTCACAAATAAAGAGCAAATATTATGTTAGACCCACTTCCAAAACATGAACATGAGAGCTGCAACCCTTCTTGGATGTGGATGAGTCCTTGGATGGGTTTGGGAGACAGATAGGGAACCACTTTAGCATTGTGGTTAACACTAAACTAAATTAGAGATGAATGTATAGATGACCGATTGTATTGACAACATGAGGGACAAGCTCATCGCTCTTGGATACATGCTTTTGAAGGGCAATGCAATGGGTAACAGTTCTTAGTCATGTGGTGAAGGCCGCCATAACCTCGTGAACATGGAGCAAACTGGGGGGCAAGTAGGACTTTAAGGGTAGCTCAAGGAGATAGGCAAGAGATCACCATCATCAGTGATTTTGAGGAACCATATGATAGGGTAGAGTGTGAGATCTTAGGAGGGTGTTGCTTATGTGATATCTTCCACCTAGCAGTGAAGTGCCCTGAAATAAAAAAAAAATGCAGCTCGTGGCACACCAGGTTTGGTTTTCCCTTACGCAGGAGAGAGCTTGAAAGGAGGGGGATGGTAGATATGGGGGATTCCAACTCCAGAGTGAAGTCCAAGAGAGGGACTATGTATTTTTGCTTTTAATCCCCTTCAATTAAATCAAGCTTGCACATATGCTTAGTTATTGGCAATTTCAGGTGTTCGTAAGATTAAAATTTTATGCAACGCTGTAGAGAGGCTAAATATCCTCTTGTGACTAAGAGAAACTTTTTGAGGGTGGCTTCTTGGCAACATGATGAGCTTGACACTAAGCCTCTACTAGACTAAGCACCTGATTAAAAATTATTAAAAAAGAAAAAAGGAATGTACCAACCATGAACTTGACATGCAAGACATTCAGAGATGGGCTATACAGGTGATCATTGAAAAGAAAGATTCTATACTTTTCATAACAGGCAATGATGATTTATTTCTCCCATGACATGGATCAAATGTAATGATACTACTTGAAATATTACTTCTTCTAGAAAAAGAATACTAATTTAAGTATTACTATAGACCTGGTTCTGTGTAACCTAGGTTTTTAGCAGCCTTAACAACTTGGCTTAACGGCTTTCCTTCTTCAACTTCGCTCATTATGTACCCCAGTGTACCTAAAACAAACATCAGGATGCAAAATTCAATATTTCCTAAATAAGAAAAATATGTACGAAGCAGTATGCCAAATACAACGAAACCTTGGAGAAACATAATATTGGAGTTGAAAAGAAATTATTCATAGAACAGTTTGATACCACTCAAACTCCCAACAATGTGATGAATAGGATCTCCAGAAGATAGCATGCGTGTTAAGGAAGCTATAACAGGAAGTCCAGCACCAACCTACCATAGGAAAACCAAGTGTTACGAAGTCGCATAAGTTACATCCCACTGATATGCCTGTTACTCAATCAGGGAACATGACAACATCATTCTAGCTTAAGTGAGAAGCAATTAGAATTTTTTAAGGAAATAAATATCAACTCAATCTTACTCCAAACCCTAAACAAAAATAAGAGTAAAAAGTGGCATAACATAAGAGTTCTCTAGTCCATGCAAATTAATAAATAAACAAAAAGGAAAGGAAGGATCAGCACACACACTTATGGTATATCTGACTTTTAAAAGAGAGAACATTATCCAAGTTCGAAAGAGGAATACACAAAAACAATAATGAGCCTTTTCTGTAGAAGTGCTTTTAGGAAAACTACTAATAAGAACCTAACTTTGTGGTTTGTAAATATTAAAGTTATCATGCAACCATTCACAAGTTTATGATTTTCTAAGTAAAATTAACCACATTTGTTCTATAAAAAAATAGGCAAGAATAAAGTAAGAAAAAACCAGGAAAATATCCTACAAAAAATAGTAAACCAAATATATTCACTTATTTTTGTTCTTAAAAACAGGTATTTTAAAAATAAAAAAATCCAAACAGCATTAGATCAGTTAAAGACATAAAGCTTCTTCCTGTGACTAATGATACACACAAGGACCTAACTTCCCTAGGAACTTTGACTTTCCAAATCAAGTGAAAAGATAATGTTATGGTTTTGAAGATTCTATCTTTGATATATATTATTAAAAAAATGATCCTGAAAGCTTCGCGGGGACTACTTTACGACAATGGACGACGAGAGCTTAATAAAAAACTGACTAAAAGACTCTTAACTCTGTCTATACCCTTCAATCCAAATTTTAAGGGAATTTAAGCCTAAGTGTTATCCATTCACCTGCCTCTTCTGGGTAAAATTTATTCTAAAATAAGAACCCAAGATGACCAACTGCCACTAAAAATTARTGCTATACTTTCTTATTGGCTAGTGGTGAGGTGAGGGCATACGATAAGGAAACTCCTCCAAAAAGGGATTTGACTATCTGTCAGCTAATCCTAATTTCAGTTAACCCTAATTTAGCTGGAGATTAAATTCCTTGAAATCCTCTTTTTCCTAAACTTTCTTTTTTGAGATGAAACACACTTTTAATTGAATTAGTGAAAGTTACAATGGCCTTCACACATGATACATCTTGAAGGTTCAAGTCTAAAAGAGTTGAGTAACTCTGTTAAATCAGATCATTGGTTTGTGTAGAGCTAGTAGCTACCAATCAAGAAACAATTTACTCTTTAAGAACCTCAGCTTACTAAAATATGTTATCTTATGCAAAATTTGGCAAAGAATTTTACAACCCTCTTCTCTCTCTTGCAGAGACCTTGCATATCTGTCACAACTCTTTAACATGTCTTTGTTTTGGTTACACGTTCTTCGCCGGAAAAAAAAAATTAGCAACATAAATCCATGATATTACTTACAGTTGATTCATGTCGAATGCAGCGTGGATGCATAATCAGTTTGTTGTAATCCTCCTGTAACCAGCAAATAATAAATTTGTTMGAAGTCAATTGTTTAGGCTTCTCAGCCAAAATAATACAAGAGAATAAATGTGAGGTGTCTGTCCATAAACTCCTCAAGAGCATGTTTAAAATGATAATAAACATCTTGCAAGCAAAAGGTTTTGTGGCCTAATAGCACTGGTTCCTTAAACAGTTTCCTTACTCCCAAAATCTCCAAACTCTGCATTAGCCAAATTGAGAAGTGTAGACCATGGTCTAACTGTATAATATTGGGTAGTTAAGGAACTCATGGATCTTTGATAAGGGGTCTCGAACTTATGATTTCTTCATAAAATTCATGACATTTACCATTGGTCTTCAGCATTTCAAGAAAAGCATTTTATATGAATGGTAATGAACTCAGTCGATGTGAAAGACCTAATGAAGAGAAAAGCATGCTGGTAGCCTGGGGAATTCACTTGACCAAAAATTATAGTTGCATTGCATTTATTGAAGATATAAGAGGAATATATTACAATTGTAGAAGTTAAAGGCTTCTTATTTGCCAAGACAATGCAGCAACCCAAGTCAACCACTTGCTTTAACAAACCAACAGTGTCGGAACTGGCAGAGCAATCAACACAGGCTAGACCTACAATAAGACATTGACAACAAAAAGTGACGATCAAAGTTGATATAATATAGAAATAAGTATATACATCTGTTTGGAACCAGCATTCAAATCGTGTGAGACACAATATGAGGGAAAGTTCAAAAACCAAGATCGTACTTTAACTAAAATGTTCAGGAGAGAAAGCTATATCAAAGTTCACATAAGCCACAAACCTGTTGCTTTACCAAGAACGGTCGCAATATCAATAACGTTTCTGGTTGATTCTGTTCTGGAAAATAGTTTGCACTCACCTGCCACAAAATATTACACATATGAAAATCATAGATTAATGATGAACGAAAATAAAGAAACCTTGCCTAGTGTGCCCCATTTTCGGTTCTACAAAGCCTAGATCAATAAATGCTTATGGGTCATCCTTTCAAACACCAAGAATGTTGTGGGAATGTGCTCTAAAAAGGAAGTGAAGAATTTTTCTCAATTCTTGGGAAGGAGAAATTGGAAGATGTCTAATTATGCAGCTCCCCTTTGGAGTTTTTAATCTAAAAATCTTTGCAATTATTATTATTTTAGAGTAAAAAACTAGAATTCTTTTGTGATTCAACGTGGAGGAACTTTAATTCTTTTGTCTATATTCGTTGATTACCTTTTTAGTACTTTTCACAGTTTATTAAAATTATCTTTGTTTCCCTCCTTCGGTGTGCAGCCTATGTTAAGATGAAGAGAGCTTGGATCACTTGTTCTTGCATTGCGATTTCACGGCTAAAGCTTGGAACTGTTTGTGCTCTGTTTTTGGGCTAGTTTTTTGTGCCCCAGATTCTATTGATGATTGGAAGATGGGGTTCCTAATTGGGTGGCAGCTTAAAGGAAAAGCAAGAATTCTGTGGAGATGTGCTTCTAGAGCCTTGATTTGGCATATTTGGAATGAAAGAAATAATAGAGTTTTTTAGGGCAGTGAAGTGTTTTTTTATTCCCTTAGAGTGTGCAGCTTACTACTTCTTTATGGTTCTTAAAACACAAAATATATATATATTTTGTAACTACAGCTTATCCATGATTCTTCGTGATTGGAAAGCCTTGAYTCATTAGTTGTTTGTTGGGAGAGGGCTTTCTCATCCTCCAACCCAGGTTGTTCTTTTGTTTTGGTGTTAATATATATTGTCTCTTATCCAAAAAAATAAATAAATAAAAATACAATTATCTTTGTTTCCTGTCAAATATATATATACATAAACATATACAAGTTACAAAGCCATAAGATTAGTATTAATTTTTTCAAATGAAAATTATAAATAAAAGGTAACTATAAAGGAGGACATCACCGAGTAACATACCCCAAGATCACATTATCATATCATGATTCATTAATACTAGAAGTTATACATATAAGATGTATGAATACTTGAAGTTCAAACCATGAACATTGGAATTTTTAGGCTTTTTTTTTCACCACTTTCTCTACTGGATTAAGAAGATTGCGGAATTACCAAAACTACTAAGATTTGATAAAGAGGCACCACCCAACTTGACATTGCAAATTTCCAATAAAATCTTGTCATTTAACTCAGTTGTGAGCACATCGGATGCAACAACTAGTGATCTACTATCGCATACGCCTATAACTCGCAAGTGGACCCCCTGTCAAGCAAATTGGTTAAATTTTCTAAAGGTTAAGTATAAAGGAGGATGCAATCATGAATTATTTACCTCAAAATTGAAAGTGAAAAACTTAAATCGAAGTAACAACTCTAAGTTTTGGCACAATGGTGGACATGCCCCTTTCCTTCTAGGTGTCCCAAGTTTGAATCTGGATACCAATTTTTTTATCCAAAGCAATAGATCAAGTAATAACTCATGAACCTAGCTTCTAGGTGATGGGTGATTCATGTGTTCAAAAGGTGCCTCCAGCAAATTTCAAAGAGCATTATCAAAGAGGTAATTATTCTTTGGCTTCAAGATCAGCTTCCTAAAACCAGCAAGATTCCCTCTAAATCAAGGTTGAAGCAAGGTTATGTTACTTCTACGAGCAATTCGTTGAGACTAGGAAGCCACGTAACCTACTGCAACTAGGTGAGATTGAGATCAGGAAGTTACCTAGTCTAAGTGAGTCCATGCCAATAACTTGGCTTGAGTGAGATCGAGTGTATGCTAGCTCTGTCCTAGTGAGACCAAGTGTTCAAAACTTGACCTGTGTGAGATCAAATATATGCCCGCTAAGTTGTCTAGCTAATACACAGACACAAATGTCCCGAGAAGGTTACATCAAACGTGCACTTGATAGTGTGACATTGTAGTCTACTCCAACCTATCACATCCTGCATTGTTGTAATTATGATGGCACCACAGCCACTCATAAACCACCAACTCACCTACAACATCCTTCATAGTTGAAGTCATGACTGCTAACTACCTATCAAGTTACAGCAATTGATGATTAGCTAGTGTGACTCTACCAGTAACCTACAACTAGCAATAAACAGTAACGATATTGTCTTTTCTCTCTTGATATATAAAATATGAAGAATATATGGATGTTAGGCTCCCTGCAAAACTGAAATTCTGTCAAACTCAAGACTTAAACTAACTTAAAACTTTGAAAGTGTTTGGAATACGCCACACGATGTCCAACACCTTTTACCTTTGCAAGTAAGTTCCAACTACGCACACTCCTCCAGCATCATTGTCTCCAATCTTACCATCTCCAACCAAGTTTTCGATTATCGTGGACATGACTAGTCCAATCAACTCTCCAACAGAAACCCCATTTGCCAAACATGCAACAGGAAACATTTATCCACATAACAATTAAAAACCTTCTGCTTGCAATCCTAAGAAATCAATGGATTCAATTCGCCATCAATGCAAATCATGGAGAAGGAACCACACCATCGATTACAAAGTTCAAACTCCAAACACTTGCGATCAAAAGAACTGGACATAACCCTTAACATTATTGAAACACCCGGAAATTACTACTCATATATCTCGAGAAAAACGTCCAAATCAGGCAGAAAGGGAGGAGAAGAAATGCCTGTTTAGCGTGAAGGGGTCGGCAGGAAACAATGTGGTGGAGGAGCTGACGGCCAACGCCGCCGCAGCCCATCACAAGCACAGGGATGATCTTCATCCTCTAGGCCACCGGTGCAGAATCTCCTCTGGTTTTTAGGAAATTTGTTTGTGCTGCCTTCAAATCAACTTCTCGCTGGCTTGCCCTTCACTGAGCTGATCGTGGCCACTGTTGTGAGGTAGCGTCGCCTATATAAACGAAGCAATCAACAGCAACTAGAGCACATAATTTCCCATTTTTCTTCATCGGATGATATTTGTCGGTAAAAAATAAAAATTTAATCTTTACCCGACCCATCAAATTCACATACGGTGTGGTTTACTTCCTATCAATATTCAAAATTTTCATCTATTTTATTTTCAGAATTATGCTCGTGTTGGTAAAAAAAAATATATTTTTTTAGCGATACAGAGGTAGAAAATTATGATAAAATATCTAAACTTCAGGAAGCAAGCAAGTTTGTCATTCTTCAAGCCAAATTCTTTCTCTTAGTATAAATTTTTGTTACCTTTTTGTTGTTGGGTAAAATTAAGTGTTGGAAGGCATTCTCGCCCTTACACGTGGCCTACGTTGATTGGGTCCCAAACAGTACACGTGGCATACGTCATTTATCTCCAAGTTTCATTACCTCGATTTTATGTATGTGACCGAGCCGACGTCTTGTGTGGCCGAACTAATCTAAGCTCCTTTAGATTTGCTCTCATCAACTAAGATGAAATACCTAACTTCACTTCGATTAAGTCCCAGACTCCACAACAACACGTCGTGATCCACCCCAACCTTAAAGAGTYGTTGAGACGCTGTCAGGACAGTTGTCGAGGAAGTCGCCTATAAATAGACCCATTCACTCCTTTTCTCAGGTACGCGAACAACTCAATTCTCTCTCGAGTTGATTTGGACATTTACTGACTTTGGCATCAGARTGCTTACTCTGTTTTGCAAGTCTTTGCACAACRTCTGGAGTTCATTATCCTGCTCATCCTTGTCGATCTGACGTTCGCGGGGTGATTATTTTTCTGATCAAACATTAAGTAACATAATTAATTTGCAAACTCATTTCAAATTTTTGAACCATGCTCTCACATAAGAAAGAATTTCATTCCTTTAAATTAAAAAAAAAAGCCCTTCATCGATATTATTTTCTAATTTGGGAAACTATAACTTTCTAATTAATTACTTTATAATTTTTATTAGTTATCTCTTATAAGCAATAAAAATGTTGTAATCTTCATCTTTATTTAAAATTATATACGATTTATATGATATTTTCTATTAAATTTCATAATATTCATCTTAAATAACCTAACAAGTTAGGTTTTCAAGTTTATTATTAATTTTTTTTATATCTTTCATTGATTGATCCTTAGGGTGGAGCAATACTACGATGGTAATAATATTCTCAATCATTGTCAGTAAGATCCTATATTATTAAATAATACGAACAAATGAAATACGTTCAGCAATACTACTAACAATTGTTCTTAGGATCAAGTTTCAAAACTCAACCAAAATTGTTTCCTTACAATCTACCTATAAAGTCTCTATCAGTATTATTCTTATTGTGCACCTATTGAGAGCATTTAGATCTGCAAAGTCAATTTTTCAAATGTTTTTAGATCTGCAAAGTCAAATCCCTCAAATGTTTACCTAACACAACCAAAGAATCATAGTATTGAGAATGTCTGCATCTCATTCAAGRCTTGTTTTGAGTTGTGGGTTATAGGGGTCCTAGAAAGGCGAGAGATGTACTCAACCCTGACTTAGGCAACCCTTGTCTTCTAAACACACATAGCAACCCCTAATACACATACAAGAATTCACCCAAGGGAAAGAAGACGGGACTTATCTTGAAGCTAAGGTCAAGACTTTCAATAGAGAGAACTTGTTCAACTTCTAAATTTAAAGCAAAACACTTTACAAATTTGATGACAAAAAACTTGCATGTTTCAAAGGGATTTGTGCAACTAATTCAAGATGCACCAATGCAGTTTTGGGAGCAAAGAAAACGAGCTCAATGGCTATTTTCATTAATATGAATCATCCCCTCAAATGTACGAGAAGAGGCATATAAGTCATCTTGAGTTTCCCCGAAATAAAAGGAAAAAAAAGATACTTTTACTAAACCTAGATTTGAACTAATTACAAAAGGACATAATTCACAACTAAGTTACACAACCCAAGGGGTTTTCTAAATGGGCCTCTAAAATGCATAAAATCTCATACTTGAACCTATAACTTATTAAATAAATTATACCTGAAATATAAAAGAATGTTACGAGACTAATTACATGAAAACCTCATAAATTTGAGCTCTTGGGTTTGATATTTTCATGTTCCCCTTGAAGTTATTTTCTCCACTCGTTCTTCATCTTTAGGAAACTTGATAGTCCACATGTTGAAGTAGATGTCTCATTCTTCATTGGTTGCCCTTTATGCCATGATATGCATTCCTGGAAGTATATCAAGAGGAAGCTAATCAACATATATCAGCTCCCTTCTTTTTGGAACCACTATAATATTATACATAAGATGCATAATCACTCCCCGTACATATTATAAAAAAAAAACACAAATCTCCTATATAGATAAAAAGTGTACGTTCTAACTTGAGCATAACTTAATTGGTTTAGTACGTATTCTCGTAAAAAAAAATCATGGATTCGTATTTTCACTCCCACACATTACTGTGCTAAAAAAATGAAGAAGACACCCAAGCAAGGTCTTTTTTTTTTAAGGGCCAAAGAGCAAGGAGTCAATTAACCATTAATTAACCAACCCATTAATTTTCAACTTGCATTAAATTTATTAATKTGATCAAAATCATTGGACAAGTTGACACACCACTCCACTTAAGTTTTATTAGAGGTTTCAATTGAGCATGATATAGACTTACCATTGGGGGATGAATGGTTGGCACTTTTTTCAAAACAAAGTTTGAGTAATATGATTATTAAATAATGTGATTATTGACTTTTTAAATGTCCCAATGGGTATCTAATCAATTTGCTCATCATATTGCTCTTAAGAATATGCATTTTTGTCATGAAATTTTACGACAAATAATATAATCAAAATCAAAYTTAAATTCAACCGTAAATAAAATACAATGAAAAAGTCACACCTATACTATATTTGAAAGGAATGAAAAAKTAATAACATTTTTTTAAATACATATTAAATTTATGCTATGGAGTAGACTTTTTCAAAATTATATTTGGACGAGACAGTCTGATCTAATAAAGTTAGATAAGTTAGGCAAATAAGTATAAGAGGAATGTTCTATTTTTACTACTAGATGGACAAGTCAATTTTAATTTTAAATTTTCAATCCATCCATCTAGACCATGATTTTGTAACTGGTACATTTTCCAAAYTAAATTTAAAAACTACTCATAAACCAATTGATACATTATACAGAAGTCGTCACATCAAATAGTTGCCTAAACTTAATCACAAAAAATATTAAAACTTGCCCATAAATCTAGTCTATGAAAAGTACTCAAACTTACCAACAAATGGCCAAATTCAACTCATCAAATCAAAAGCATCCCATACAATTAGAAGAACCAAAACTTGAAAAACAGTTTCATCAAATTAATAAAGACACCAATAGTTAGTCATAAATCTTAAAAAGTAAAAAGTAAAAGAACAATTAATTGAGGCCATCAATTACCCCATTTGTTTAAGCATTTAAGGTTTAAATAGATGAAAAATCAAGGTTAAAATCTAACCTACCCACCTAAGTTAAAAATTGAACTCTCCCTTAATTTAATTGGGGTTAAAAAGATTCACCTCTGTGTCAAGTCAGGTAAATTTAACCAAAATCGATGTCTCATAAATATTCTATTAATAATGTTAATAATATAGATTAACTATTATGTTTTCCGACACCAAATGTTGTAGGATCAGATGATTGTCTTGTGAGATTAGTCGAGGAGCGCCTAAGTTGATCCAGATACTGACAAAATATATATATATATATATATATAGATTAACTATTAATATTGACACTACTAATTGACTTGTAGATCTACAAAGTAGTATCGGGTAGAACCCCATTTAAAAAAATTTGAGTTAAGATTAATGTTGATGTTGTATGAAAATGGAACGTGCTTGGTATCAAAACTAGAGTTATTTGTAGTGATAGCTTGGGCAAACGGTAAACCATGAAATATTACCCAATTTCGTACAAATCTCTCTCACCTCACCTGAAATCTTTGTTATTATCGATAGACTTAAATTGGTACAATGTTAAGATTTAAAGAAGGTACGTGGATAATCGAATGTCTTTTAGAGAATATAATTGATAAACCACTAAATTGCATCTCGACTGCTCTTCTTTCGAAGCGGTTTACTCGTCCTCTACCGAGCTTCATTTGTTTTTAATTTCTCTCATAACTGATGAATATAATCATGAGATGTAATAATGAATGATTGTACCTTGTTATTTTTAGTGCAAGTTGATTAAAAAACATAAATTAAATTTTGGGATATAATTGAAAATTTTCAAAATTTAAAAACTAACTTGGCACAAAACTAAAAATACAAACGGTCCAAAAGAAAACATTTTATTTTAAAAGAAACATTTTTGAAAAATGACTTCGATAAAAAAAATTTGAAAATAGTTTTTCTCCCATATGTTTAAATTAAATTCAATATTTTGGTGGATCGTATGGAGCAGCGTAGACGATTATGCCACTGTAGCACTCGCCGAAAATGACCAACACAATTCCAAACCTACAAAATCTCCACAGAGATGTCACACGTGGCGTCTTCTCATTCGACTGTCACCGGATTAGAATACATGACGGCGCATCGGATTACTCTCTAAACGTGCTCGATCCCTCTCTCTCTCTCTATCTCTCTCTCTCTCATCTTTTTTCCCTCTCCTCTCCACGGCCACCGTCACTGCAGCCGTCGCCACTCGCCGGCCGGCCAAAAACTGTGAAGAATCAGGTCCGTCCGATTCCATGATCCCCTCTGTACTTTCATCTTGTTGCCTCTTCGTCTCTCTCATTTTCTAGGGTTTAATTCTCTCTCTGCTGTAGGGCTTTGGTTTCATTCGGTTGTAGTCTGTAATTGCGCTGTTTTTTGCTGCTTAATGAGATATACGTGTAAAATGGGATTCGGGTTTTGTAGTCTCGGTGTATTGAGTTTCTTAACTATGAAAAGCTTTATGCTTTTTGTTGTAAATGTGTCTTTTTCCTTTTTGTCCTTGTAATCACTTGCAACATTTTTTTTGTTCAATTACTTAAATTCGTTTCTTGATGAGATGGGGTGGCTATTTCTTAGTTCAATAGTTTGTTTCCTTTTAATTTGACTGCCATGGAATTTTTATGTTAAATATGTGGGAATTGAGGCTGTGTGATACATTGATAAAGTGAGGTAGATGTTTAAATCAGTGGTTTTATATGTATTGTACTGTAATCAATAATTTCTTCTTATGTTTATTGCTTTAGGAAGATTGTATCAGTTTGTGGGTTGGTCTCCCATTCTGATCATACTAATTTTGATGCTGGGCCTTTCACTGTCAAGGCAATTGGTGATTGGACTGTAGAGTGCCAAGGTTAAGTTTTTTGGTAGCTGGTTGTACGTTGATAGATTGATTCCAATGACTTCCACTCGAAGGAGATATCCTTCTACATGTCTCTCATGTATAACCTCAATGATGTGATATTTGCAAGGAGGGAAGCAAAGATTTTGATCTCTTGCTTCTCCACTCACTTAACTGTTCTTTTTGTCTAACTTGTGGAACATTTTTACGCCAAATGCTTTTAGATTGGTTATCAGTTAACTTATGGACTCTGGTAGTACGTTGGTGGAGATTTTTGCAATTACATTGGATCAAAGGCAGTAAATTTTTTTTTTTTAACAAGAAACGAACTTTTCATTGATTTAATGAAAAGGAACAGAAAATTGTTCAATGATACAAACCCCCGAAGGAGTGAGAAAATAAACAAAATGGAAAATAGAACAACAAACTAAGTGAAAAGAACAAAAGCTAAGGGGGAGTTATAAAAACCTCCCAATTAGAACAAATCATACTCGGAGAGTAATTTACAAAAACATTAGAAAGAGCATACCATTGAGAAGCCTTAAACTTTGCTAGTAGGAAAACTTCAACCGGATCTCGACATTTCCCCTTGAAAAGCCTTTGATTTCTCTCGAACCAAATATCAGACAACAAAGCTTTGACTCCATTACACCAAAGAAGACCTGCTTTTGACGCGAGACACGGGCCAATCAACAGAGAATGAACGTTCTTTGCGACTTCGAAATCAAAAACCCAAGAAAGGATCAAAGGCAGTAATTACTTTTTGGAATGTTTGGCTACTTCGCTATCTTTCAGAAAACTTAGAGAAGAATGGCCAAATTTGAAGAAGTTGCAGATATAGAGTTTTGGAATAGAATTTCTAGCATAGAATTTCAGTTACTAAATATTTAGGGAGTGTTTATTTTGGGTTTTGGGACAAATAGAGATTCTGCAAAAGTTGTCATATCTTGTTTGGTTTTTGTTTTCATTCAGGTATTGTGTTGGATTCCTTTCTAACTTTCCATAAGTTATCTCTTCGTGGTGAAAGTACACACTAAAAAAAAGGAAAAAAAAAAAAAGTTGACTCCATTTATGATTTATAATTGACCTTTTTCTTTTTGTATAAATTGTGAGCTTCCATGGATTACAACTCAATGATATTTTGTGGTGTGATAATCTGTTGCAGATTGCATCTAAATTGCATTGGCAGCAAAAATGAATGGACTTTCCCCTTTTATGTTGGGTTTCATATTGGATAAATAACTTGGCTTTACACAGTGGATTTGATGGATGAAGTGGTTGAGGTTGATGGTATGACTCATCCTGCAGTTGTAGATGACAGTGATGTTGATCCTCATGAAGGTGAAATTAACACTGGCGAAGACTCTACACTACATGATGAAGATGGAATCATCGAACCATATGTGGGCATGGAATTTGAATCTGAAGGCGATGCAAAGACCTTCTATGACGAGTATGCCCGACGCTATGGTTTTAGTTCAAAACTTGGCCAGCTCAGTCGTGCAAAATCTGATGGTACTATCATTGCTAGAGATTTTGTATGTGGTAGAGAATGTTCAAAAAGAAAGTCCGCTGATAGTTGTGATGCAATGCTTAGGATAGAGTTTAAAGATCAGGATAAATGGGTTGTCACAAAGTTTGTAAAGGAGCATAGTCATTCTACAGGCAATTCTAATAAGGTGCATTATCTACGGCCGCGTAGGCATTTTGCTGGTGCTGCAAAGACCATGACTGAAACTGCTTACGCAGGTTCAGCAGGTGTCCCCAGTGGTGTCATGTCTGTATTAATGGATGACAACCGTATACCCGCAGAGAAAAATTGTGGAGTTAGAAGTGCATCTCAAGCAGAAGCAAATCGGTCAATCAATAATGCTTCAACTATAAATTATGGCATCAGGAATGCTGGCCGAAAGAGGACACTGGGGAGGGATGCTCAGAATATGCTGGAGTATTTTAAGAAAATGCAATCTGAGAATCCTGGATTTTTTTACGCAATACAGCTTGATGAAGATAATCGTATGGCTAATGTGTTTTGGGCAGATGCAAGGTCGCGAGCAGCTTACAGTAATTTTGGTGATGCAGTTACATTGGACACGATGTACAGAGTTAACCAGTTCAGAGTTCCGTTTGCTCCATTCACTGGAGTGAACCATCATGGTCAGACGATTTTGTTTGGATGTGCTTTACTTCTTGATGAATCCGAGGCTTCTTTTGTTTGGCTGTTCAAAACATTTCTAACAGCGATGAATGATCGTCAGCCTGTTTCAATAACCACTGATCAGGACAGAGCCATACATGTAGCTGTTGCTCAAGTTTTTCCACAAGCCAGACACTGCATTAGCAAATGGCATGTCTTAAGAGAAGGCCAGCAGAAGTTAGCCCATGTATGTCTCACACATCCAAATTTTCAAGTTGAACTTTACAATTGTATCAATTTGACTGAAACTATTGAGGAATTTGAGTCAGCTTGGAACTGTATCATTGAAAAATATAACTTAGGAAGAAATGATTGGCTCCAATCATTATATAATGCACGTGCTCAATGGGTTCCCGTGTATGTCCGTGATTCATTTTTTGCTGTTATATCTCCCAATCAAGGATATGATAATTCCTTTTTGGATGGATATGTGAACCAGCAGACCACATTACCATTGTTCTTTAGGCAGTATGAAAGAGCTTTAGAAAATTGGTTTGAAAAGGAAGTAGAAGCAGACTTTGATACAATGTGCACTACACCTGTATTGAGGACACCATCTCCTATGGAGAAACAGGCAGCAAATCTTTATACTAGAAAAATTTTTGCAAAATTTCAGGAGGAGCTTGTTGAAACTTTTGTCTATACTGCAAATCGAATTGAAGGTGATGCAGCTCTTAGCACTTTTAGGGTGGCTAAGTTTGAGGACGATCAGAAGGCATATGTTGTCACATTAAATTATCCAGACATGAGAGCTAATTGTAGTTGTCAAATGTTCGAGTATTCAGGCATTCTTTGCAGACATGTATTAACCGTCTTCACGGTAACTAATGTACTTACCTTGCCACCTCATTACATCTTGAAAAGATGGACAAGGAATGCGAGGAGTGGGCYTGGATTAGACGAACGTGCTATTGAGTTACATGGCCAGGAATCTTTATTGTCAAGGTTCAATAATTTATGCCGAGAAGCGATCAGGTATGCAGAGGAAGGGGCGACTGCTGTCGAAACATGTAATGTTGCAATAACTGCACTTAAAGAAGCTGCAAAAAAAGTAGCTATTGCCAAAAAGAATGTAGCAAAAGTTGCACCTCCTAGCTCTCAGGTCAGTGGGGCTGGCTACGATGAGAGGAAAACCTCGGCTTCAGCTTCAGATACAACCCCACTGTTGTGGCCTCGTCAGGACGAAGTTATGAGACGATTTAATCTCAACGATGCCGGTGCTTCTGTTCAATCCATTGGTGATTTGAATTACCCACATATAGCTCCAGTGACCCTTCACCGAGATGATAATCCTCCTGACCACATGGTTTGTTTATTTAGTTTTGCTTATTTCTTGGCTCAGAACTGTGAACACTGGTAAAAGTTACTAATGTTGTTCTTCGGTATAGGCTGTTCTTCCTTATCTGAAATCAATGACTTGGGTGATGGAGAATAAAAATTCAACCACGGGGAATAGAGTTGCTGTTATCAACCTGAAGGTACTTAAAGCAACATATGATTTTCTTTACTCAGACATCCTAGACTGTGATCTTTAGGTTGGCTGTTTTGATCTTTTTTTGTTTGACCTAGCATTGATGTGATGGTTCCACTATCCCGATTCAAAACTTATTTTAAGTCCAGTGTCCTGCCTATTATAACAAGCTTCTTTGTTACCTTTYGTAGCTGCAAGACTACAGTAGAAGTCCATCTGCAGAATCTGAGGTTAAGTTTCAGCTATCAAGGGTTTCGCTGGAGCCAATGTTGAGGTCTATGGCTTACATCAGCGAACAGCTCTCAACACCAGCTAACAAGGTTGCTGTCATCAACTTGAAGGTACGATATGGAATGTGTCTAATTTTTTTAAATTTACCTGATTTTATGTTTCATATGGCTGTTAGGTTCTACTAATGGAAACACTCAGTGGTCCTTGTTAAATATTAGCAATAGATACATATTTTAGCACTGTATGATAAAACATAATTCCTTTATTCATGATTYGAGAGCGTTTTCACGACTCTTAAGAGTTCTGGTGACTCTCTGTATGATATGCTCACTATTATTTTACTAATACATACATGTTCTGAAAATATTTCTATCTCAGCTTCAAGATACTGAAACAACTTCTGGAGAGTCTGAGGTTAAATTTCAGGTCTCTAGGGATACTTTGGGTGCTATGCTGAGGTCAATGGCCTACATCCGTGAGCAGCTTTCAAATCCTGTGAGTATTTTTGGCATAAACTTCTTTTTTCTTTTCCTTTTCTTTTGGTTGCTAATATTTCAGATTACTAAGACCACTGTTTTTTTCTGATTCCAGCTATCTTGTAAGTATTTTATTTGAAATAGTTTGAGATCATTTATTTGGTGCTTCGGAAGTCTAGAAAAAAACAAGTGAAAATTCTTGGTCCATATAGTGAACTTATGAAACGTTAGTTTGTTTGATATGGTCCTAATATGCATGAACTTTGGGATTGGGGAGTTGTATCGTATTTGAATTTTTGTGACATTTTACGAGTAGAGCACCATTACAAAACCTTTTCCTTTTAAATATCTGTGAGTTTTTAGTCTAGCTTATGTGCACCTTGACTAATCTCATGTGATAATTTATTGATTCTACAACATTTAGCTGCCAAGGAAATGTGGAGGATATTAAATCTTAGGTAGGTGGCCACTATGAGTTGAACTCATTCCCTCTAAAACCTTAACTTTTTTCATTAGTTCCAATGACCACTCAGCCAACTTATGGTAACTATATTTGCAAAATTAAATTTGTAGTGCAGACTTCGTAGGGATGTGTACATACACCCGTACGATTTTTATAATAAGAAAAAAAGAGAAATTAATTAGGTTACTAGGATTACAAAACAAGGCAGATAGAATATTGTGAACAATACATAGTAGCTAAACAAGTGCTTGTTAACCTTCTTGGCAACTTCACTTTTCAAAAGTGTCTTAAAAGTTGGCTTGGGGATCTTACCACTAAAAGTTAATAACTGTCACATGGGCATGCTTCCAAATTCTCTGCACCGGTCTACCTTTATTCTTATTGCTAGACTAGCTTAAAAATTTCTTCAGTTGTATGTAAAGTTGTGGGGAGTGTTTTGCAAATATCAAATCATGGAAAAACAACCTTTAATTTCTATRTCTTCGAAATCACCAAGTCAAGGAAATAGTATGGTTTATGATTCCTTATTGCTCAYGTATTTCCTCACTTTATTAACCATGCATTTTCATTTTTTTATTTCCCCACTTCCCTTCAAATATCCTAATCCTATTGAAAAACAGAAAAAAAGAAAAGAAAGAAAGAAATTTGAATTGAAGAAGAACTAGTTTTCAAACCCAGCAAGTGAGAAGGAGATTACAAGAATGTTGTTCAATATCCTTAAGAAACGACTCTGACCTTCTTGTTGTTGAATGTATGAACTGTGCCTTTTGTTTGTTCTTATTAGATCAATACTTATTTGGCAGGCTGAAATTCAGTCAGAACCTCTTCCAAAGAAGCAAAGGAAGTAAGGACCCCATAGACACCGACACGTTTTACATCCTATATTCTGAAACATGCCATTGGTGATGGCTAAAATGATTGTTAAATCTGTCGGTATTCGAGAATGTTTGTTTTTTTCCTTCTTTTTTCTTTTTAGTCTAGGCTAGCCACATTTTCCTCTGTAGATGTACATGTAACACTAGATTCAAGCATCCAGTGGTCCTAAGAGTAATCTAGGAGGGTCAGCCAGGGACCATAGTATGGATGCCTCAGCAATAGAATAGCTCCATTAATTATGCTTGTTATCTTCTCATCTCGCCATTATTCTCGACGGCATTTGGTTGCTGCTATTGAAGCTGCTTGACTTCTGACTGCCTCACTTTCAGCGCAACCGATTATGAGCTTTCGGCGAAGGAAGGATAAAAACAGAGATCGCCACAGTGTGAATCCAAAGAATATGATACTCACCTGCCCGAGTCGCTAACAAAAGGTTTTCCCCCCATGTATTGTATATAAGGGTCATTGATATGTCTGCTCAAATGTGATAATAAGACTCCAATTACTGTGTTATCTTATCATTTCTTTGTTGAGGTAATATCTATTTGTTTAGAGTGATCTTTTTTCTCGCTCTTATGTTAAACTGTAGATGCAGAATCATTATGATTTAATTAAAAGCCAAGATGAAAGATTAGATTGATGCCTGAAAAAATCTCATAAAACAATCTTTATTGCCAATACAGCTTACTAAGTAAAATATGTTCTTTCACTCAGGTACTCTAAGCAAACTTTTTTTTTTTTAAATATTGTATTGAAATTAGACCATCTCACCATCTAACTTCGTTCTACAATAACTTGAGTATCATTTAATTTTTTCTCCCTTTTCTATCTGAAGTTGTATCTTCTTTAGAATATACACCAATGCAAGAGATTTTAGCCATCTTTTCTTCACTCTCTGTATGCCAAAATAAAAACAAATGTAGGGTTACATTTTGTCACTATACTTTTATATTCATGTTTGCTTCGTCCACCTACTTTTAATACTTATTGATAGTTTAAATCAATAACCACAATATCGAAGAAAAACATGAATATTCAATTATTATTCATTGTGGTTCCTCGGCCTGCTAGCCWATTGTCGGGTAAACTACATATTCTTGGACATACAAAGAACAAAGGAGAAAAATCAACATGGTTAGGAAAACTACAAATTTTTATATAACTTAAGATGATATTATATCAAACAATTCTTCCCCCCACCRTCCCTACTTTTCTTCACGTGAAAATTTATGCAAGTATGCATACATGTATCCATTAGTTTAACTAGTTTAAAGAATTGAATTGTACAATTGTTGTAAACAAATAAATAAAATACTAAAATAAATTTAGATGCATGAGTAGTAGTAGGGGAGCACATTGGTCGGTGTCCGTTTTAGCACAAAACCGACACCGAAAAACTAACTCAATTTCTTTTRAAAGTACAAAATCGTGCCAAAGTGCGAGATGCAAATATAACTGAGAGAGAGACAAAGAAATGGAAAATTGGAATCRAAAARGGGGGGAGAGACGAAAGAAATGAGAAAGAGAGCTGGGAGAAAAATGTATCATATTTAAAATTTATCTTTGATCTATTAAAGATCAAAATAAATGTGTTAAAATACGATGATCTCTATAAGCCCTGTACTTTCCAAAGTGGGRTTGAAAATTTGAACYCATGACGTTTGATTGAAAAAAATCACCTAAACTAGTTAAATCATGTTCAAATTGACAAGCATAGRAACTAAAATTAAACCTMCGGAGTACAATAACCAAAATGAACAAAAGTTATAARTCCAAAAATAGTATTTTGACCTAAAATAAAAATTTAATTATATCGTTTGGTGAATTAGTTAATTTTTTAGGTAACAAGATGACTYGACATCACAGTAAATTATTTTAACAAGACCAATTGAGTTGATAACTTCTGAATTCTTTCTTCACATAGTTTTCGTTACTCAGTGTCAAACAGGTCAAAAGCAAAATTTAAACACAGAATCTGAAACAACTTTATAAAAATAGAACATAGAGAAGTATAATAATAGAACAACTTTTCAGTCGCCTGGGAATTGGATATTTCTCTGAATATAAAAATAGAACATCCTAACATAACATTACAATCTTTACTGTTAGAAAAAAAGTTCATAAAAACAAGGTTTARTATCCACAAATACTTATTAATACTTCTTGCTTGATCCAAAATCGACTATAACAATAAAAGAAAAGAAAAAAGGGGATGCACACTCCTAACTGCAGAAGAATTTAAGTTCAACAATTTGAAAGATGGGAAACTGTTTGGTCGTCTGTGTCCCGTACAATACGGTTACATCTCTCGCCTTCACKTCGAGTTGAATTCGAATTCATTCTTCACTAACAACACAGTGAGCAGGCAAAAAGAGATTGATAAATGCACAATTCCCATGAAGGTATTTGTACTTGCCCACAGCAAGAATATGATCAACTCATAGTTCAGTTCATACTATGGGGTGAAACAAAGCAAACCTCTTCAGTGACAAGAAGAATTTCTAACAGCAGCCAGTCTGATTGATTTCGTACCAGTCCTGGAGTTGCATCCCCCTCCTTAGAAACACGGGTGGACCTCTTTATCTTTGCCGGTGCCAAATATATCTACAAGCTTCTATAATCTATTACAGTAACTTCGTCCTCGGGCGCATCTAGGTCTTGATAACTGCATGATACTTGCTATTAGTTATACAACACACCAAAATACCTTCTCAAACTGCAGGATGATCCTGCAAATAAATATAATACACTAGTTCAATCTGTGCAAGTGATGTACCTCCGTATCCGACGAGGATCCTGTCGAAAACCTTGAGATAGGGCAAGAATTGGAGCAGACCCACCTAATTGGGGCCCTGACCTCCCATTTCTACCACCACCCTCAAAAGGAGGTGGACCTCCTTGTTCCCGCAACATTCGCATTGCAACTTCAGGTGGAGCAGGAACAAATGGTCCTAATGGACTGAGATAAAACATAACATGTAAGGTCACCAGGAAGGCGAAGGGTACAAAAAAGATAAGCAGTTAAGTCAACGTACCCAGCACCAGGAACTGGCATAAGCACCGGTGGTGGCATCTCAGAGGCAAAAGGAGCAACATGTCTTCCTTGTCCACCAAAAGTATCGAACATGGGATCGTCAAGGTTTCCGCTATCGGTACCATCATTTGTTGATTGGAAATCACTTGATTGTGGGTTCTCAGATCTATCAAACCTGTCACCCCCATTAGCCCAATTATCACGGTCCCTACGATTACCTCTATCATCCTTCAGCCGACCCTCTAAATTCATCCTACGTCTCTGCGGCTTGTCCTTCTGCATTAGATAATAGCCTCTTAATGGATTAAATTTAGAAAACATAATGCTGACTCTAGCAATAATAAAAGAAAAGTTTAAATACTATTTTAAACCCTTACTTTTGTCTTTGGTTCATCATTTTGATCCTTGTACTCTCAAAACATTTCAAAACATCTATTTTGGTCCCTATACTTTTAACTGGTTCATTTTAACCCTTATACATTCAAAATGTCTCTTTTGGTTCCCGTATATTTAAAAAATGACCCCATTTTGATCCCTATTTGCAAAATCTTAACTAAAATTTTATACACAATGAAAATCTATTTAATACAAATTTATGACTACATTTCAAGAAATTTAGTGGGATGAAGTGTCATGCTAAATATTGAGGGAAAGAAATTAAATAAAAATGAAATTTAAAAGTACAGCGTATAGGGACCAAAATAGTCCCTTCTTTAAAAGCACAGGGACCAAAACTGACATTCCGAAAAAACATGCACTAGAGCAGCATAAAAACCCATATGGCAAACCAAAATTGACGTTGGTCGATCGATTTTTAAGAAGAATCGATCGGAGTTGATTTTTCTTTGAAAAACCAACTGGTCGGTCGATCAGTCAGCTTATCCAATATCAAATAAAACGACCAATTTGTTAATTATTAAAAAAAAAAGCTACAAGAATCCACGCCCATCATTCTCATGATTCACGTGAATTTATTTTCTTTTCTTCTATTTTTGGCTGTTTGATATCCATATTTCTTTTTTTCTTTTTCTATTTAATATTCTCTTTCAACTKCTCCGCCCCTCCCTTTTTTCCTCCACTTTCCCTCTCTCGTTTTTTTTCTTTCTCCTCTTTTCTCTCTTTCTCTTTTAGTTATCTGTTTCATTTCTATTTCTTCTTTCATCTCTCTCCCTATTCTTCCTTTCTTCTGTCTCTCTGATTCTCCCACTCACATTTCTGCATTTCAGTCACACAGCCGCAACACCAGTCTTCCTCTAGCATCTACCAAAAACCGATCAGAACCGACTCTGGAAAAGTATATTATATTCCTAGTAGAACACTTAAATTCACTCGCACACATATTAACATTATCGAAACGAAATGAGAGCCACTCCACTCTACATACTGGGCATAATAAACCTGTAGGAAGAATACACCTCAGGTCCTCATAAATGAATAATGACCTGTTAGAAGGGTATATGATGAACGAGAGCACCAATACCACCAACAGAATGAAATGAAAAATAAGTTCTAATACTATGTCATTCTCAATGGTTGGGATAACACAACACCAACCCAATAGTTCTAATGGGCTTGATGACAATATTCAAAAAATAGGGAATGGCCCACATCTAACTTGGRGGAAACCTTACCTAAGATCATTCTGTCCTTTACGTATGTTTCTGTRCGCAATGGTTTTATTTTTTTCTTGTTCCTTTTTTTAAGGGGGGTAGTTCTGTGGTGATGAAAGACATTTGGAAACTACTGATCTAACAAATGAAATTATTCACTAAGAATTGGTATTTAGTACGTTATCACAGACAATGCATAGATAATAAACATACCGGAAGTGATTGTTGCATTACAGGTGTCCCACCAGGAGCATCTGTATCACTGTGAACGATTAAGGTATTAGTCAAGGATGCTTTCCATCAATATTGAGGGAGAACTGCTATCAGAAATCTCACTTACTTCATGTAATTTTGGTAATACAGCTCTTCACGCACTTTTGAAGTCAGCTCCATCACAAGCTCTGGGTGCTTCAAATTAAGATGTTTATGTACAAACTCAGGGGCATGAAACAGCTTAGTGCAACCCTTGGCTCCACAACCATACTTCCACCCATATTTTTCATCTCTTATCTTACGAACAAATGGATCAAAAGCTTCAAGAGCAGAAGCCTCTATTTTATCCTTGGCAGTCATTGCTTCCACTGGATCTTGACCACTCAATCTCTCTTGCCAAWGCAGATCAAGTTTCTTCTCCCACTCATCTGCACCACCGCCCACGTTAGAACTCTTTCCCTCTTCTCTTACATGACGAAGGCCCTTAGCTTCTCTAGTCTCAACCATTCCATAGTAATCCAAGCCGTGGATGCGCCAAAGATATGTGAGAAGCGTGTCCAGTAGCTCAACACCCTCCAAGCCTTTGACAGTTGTTAACCCCCGAATGATTATAACTGGGCCTGAAGAGCCACCATGTGCCTTATCCCGACCTAGTTTGTCACTGTCAGAGCCACATAAAATATTTTCTTCTATTCCTTTTTCAGCATCAAGTTTACGCACGAGAGCTTGAGCTTGTTCAATATCAATTTGGATTCGTCTTGGTTCAGAACTAACAGGGTGGGCCTTAGGAGCAGCAGAAATAAGATCCATTTCTTTTGCAGGTCCTCTGCCATGCCTCCTCCGTTTGCCATCAGTGTCTGCTTCATCGTCTGAATTTGGTTCACTAGTCTGCCCTGATTTATTTGTAGCTGCTGCACTGATGCCAGGACCTCTGCATCATCAAATAGAACAGCATTGGTTTACCATCGCAGTTGAAATTTCCTGAAGTCAACATGTTATGAATCTAAACATAATTGTGAAAAGTCCAATCTTACAATTCTAGTGTTCCACTTTGCAGATCAAGCAAAAACTCCTTTGCAGTTCTTTGTGCAAGTTCATTCCTCCTTAACACACCAACAAAATATTAGAAGAAAAACATAATGAATTTTTACAGAAAAGCCAAACTTGCAATCCAAACAAGGAGTACAAGCATTAAAATTCTGTTTCAATGTAACACCAACAAAATATTAGAATCGACAAAAATGAGAAGTTATTAAAAAAACAAAAAAACCAGTTTTACGTCCACTAAGTTAAGGGTAATAAAAATGTGAAGGAATTAACCACAACTACTAGTACTCCATCTTTTGGGGAAGATGATCAGAAAAAACACCTTTCGATGACAGTAACTAGGTTGGTAGGATGATATTTGTCTCTCAACCTACATAGAAAAAAGAGATTAATTAGGGGAAATAGCATGAGAGAAAATAGCAAATGAAAAGGAAATACAGATGTAGAAGGCAGGAAGTACCATTCTTCATCTTTATGAGAATCAAAAAAGGCTTGTTTCTGAGTTGAAATATACTCTGACTTGTATTCTTGATATCTGAAAGGAGAGCAAAAGTTGTTCCTCAAAACCAGAAAAGAATCAAACTCATACAATTAAATATTTAAATCAAAAGAAAACTTAGAACATACCTGCGCTCAGCTTCAGCTGGCAGTATATCATCTTCAAGCTCCTGAATAAATTGCTTGTATGTCATCAAGCCTTCTCTGAAATCACAAATTATCAGAGGATTTCATCGATAGTAAAGCTAAAGATGAAGTAATATCAAGCATTTGACACTTTATTCCATGATGTTATATAGTTCAATTTCAATACATCTTGTATGGTTCTAAGTTCAAAGGAATCTGATATTTGCCACCCTTCTTAGTAAGAATCAAACGCRCCATTAATATCAACAACAAGATGTTAGAACTCGTACAAGAAATATATTGAAATATAATTAGATATAGAAACTACAAGACCTACCAAGTAATTCGAGGTACTTGGGACCCTCCCCTCTTCCCTTGAGTATTCTTACTCAAGCCTAAACCATACTCACTAATTGGATACATTCATYCTTACACCCCCATTCTATTTATAACAACACTCCCTAACAACTTTCCTATCTAATTACTAAGCTACCCTCAATACTCTAATAATATCACTTTATTATCCTAAGGGYCATTCCTATCACAAGATGTACATAAGGAAGCAGAGAAGATCAGAGGACATCCCCCAAACCAAAGGCTAATGAAGATTACAGAACATGCTCTTATTGGAACTGATTAAAGAAAAAGTAATAACCAAAAAGGGAGTCAACCTAAGCATAACTCAACTGGTTAAGGCATCTACCTCYGACCAAAAGGTCGTGAATTCGAACCCCCACCCCACACATATTGTACTCATCATCAACAACAACAACAACAAAAAAGGGAAAATCTTATCACTTGTTCAGAAACTTTCTTTCAGTACACGCATTCTTCAGTTTTTTTCTCCCACTTTTTTCGAGAGGGAATAGAAATTTCATTGATGAATGAAATCAAAGATTTTTTTAGCACGTCAATTCAGTAAAGATATTTTGCGTAACTGGTTTTTTTCTTACTTTCCTTGAAGCCTGTTCTCATGGATGACCTATATTTTTTAAAAAAGAATGAAATTGTATTTCCTCCAAAAATCATAGATCTTTTAAAATTACTATTTCAATGTACAAAATAACATTTTTATAGGAACTTTTACACTGTAATTAGAAAGAGCGCAATAAAATAAAGGTGATGAGAAATCAACCCAAAAAAAATCTTAATATTAGTGTGCCCAAGAAAATTATCCTTTACAAATCATGCAATCACAATTTCAATAACAGTTTCAGAAACATTAATGCAAAACTATAAACCCCTAACTAGAGCACTCCAAAAGAAGCAATCAAACATACTAAACCCGGCTCTATATGGATCAATGCCACTGCTAAACCTATCATCTGGGACTTCAGCATGAAAGAGATCAAACAATATTCAAGAGGGCAGCACACTGGATGAGAAAAAATGGTTTGAAATGTATCCTTGGCTGTTGCCTACCCTCTCCTTTTTGCCTTACACTCCAGCAAAAACACTTCTSTAAAGAAGTGTTAGTCGACAATAACAAATTCTTGGGACATCCAATTTAGAAGGAACCTCAAAGGGGCGGAAATCACTGAGCTGGTACCGTTTCTCCACCATTTGTCTTCCTATCATCTAAATCAATATAGTGACAGACTTATATGGAGATTGGAASCATCGGGAATCTTCACTACCCGCTCCCTCATCCGCGATACGGCAAATTCCCCAAGCTGATGCTCTGCTCTATAAATCAATTTGGAAAGACCAATACCCTAAGAAGATCAAGTTTTTTCTTTGGGAGGCCAGTTTGCTAGCTATAAACACCCACGACAAGCTCCAAAGGATGCTGCCTTTGATGTGCCTCTCTCCTCACTGGTGTGTTCTATGTAAACAGCATGCAGAATCACAGGGTCATGTTTTTGCCTCTTCCAACTTTTCATCCACTCTATGGCACACCCTTCTATCTTCTTTYGACTGGTCTTTGGCATTACCGGCGGATCTCCCGCTCTTTTATCATCTACTCTCACTAGACACCCTTTTACCAATGAGGCTAAAATCCTCTAGATGAACTTTGTTAGGGCTTTGTTGTGGTTGATTTGGTTAGAGAACAACCATCAGATCTTCMAAGGAAAAGAGCGATCTCTAAACATTTTTTAGTCTATAGTGTCATTAGTGGACCAGTGGTACCTTGGTGCGAATGCTCCTCCATCTTTCATCACTATAGTTTCGTCTCTCTATTAACCAATTGGAAAGCTTTTTTGTAGCTCCTTTGGTTTGGGGTGTCATCCCCTTTTGTATATTTTCATATTTCATAGAATTACAAGAAATTGAGGTAGGGAGATTTGAACCTCCTTTCATATTTCATAGAATTAATGAAATAGTTTCTTGTCCCAAAAAAATGGTTCGAAATGGTTCAATCTAGCACAAAATCAAGCATCTTATTGGAGAGCATTATCTAGAGCTTTTTGCAATTGTCCTTGCAACCAAATGTAAGTATACCAATTGGGTTGCTTTTTTGGGAACTCCTAACAGCTTCGTTGAGAGTTTATTGTTTTTTTAAGTAAAAGAATGTTCTATCCCAATACCAGAGARGTTTCCGGCCAATTCTTGAAAGATCCTCCAACTCCTCCTTGATCAAATCTCCCAAAAACTAGTATCATAACATTAGTCACAAACCTTAACTTCAACTTTGAAAGKAACCACGAACATTAAAGGACAAAGTGCTTTAAAAGCACATACAAAGACAAAAATAGTCGACCATAACCATCCATCACGGAAGAGAAAGGACAGTAACCGAGTACTTTCTGCCTTATCAAAACCTCAAATCGATGCAATTGCGAAAGAAAAGATGGTCCTTACAGCACAATCTGAATTTTTGCAACTTACGTTTCTTCCAAACGTCAGATATATTTGACTTGGAAACAACTCAGTTAGAAAGGGCATGGGGAAATTGTATTCTTCCCACCACACAGCTGCAGAAGGAAACCCCGTACTTTCCCTTTCCAAGAGCAGGACCACTATCAATTGCAATTCAGAATTTTAGACTTTATGTTTTCATGCCATTAACAATCCACATTTGCAATAATAGTTCTTATTATAGTCTTATTTCAGACCTACCCCACTAGCTTAGCCTTGATTTGCACATGATATCTCATGCATGTTCAAACTGAAACTAATATTTTAGCAACAAAATTAGCCAATCAAGGATAACAAGGAAGGAAAAAAATTCCAAAAACCATAGAAACCGAAAATACAAAAGTAAAGCCAAAATAAGGGAGAAACAAAAAGAACAGTTGCATAAATAAGGGAGAAACAAAAAGAACAATTGCATAAATAGGGGTGAGAACCCAATAATGAAACCAAAAGCTGCACATCTCAATTATAAGGATAGAGCRATTTGCATTATTAAGAGAGATATCAGAAGACTATTAATTATGTAATAGTTTCCACAAGTAGGGTATGACTAAATACTAACCTTTGGCCAGCTCCTGCATTGAGTGCATCACCATGACCACCACGACTAGAATCCCAATCTGAAGAATTAAGCTTTAAAGAAAGTAAGAAGATGGAACGGGATACCATATCCATAACATAGGCCATCCAAATATGAGTGTCGATTCAATATATGATAGTATAATTAAAATGTTTACTACCAAAGAGGACAAATTTTTCTGGAAAGATTTCTACAATTGTTARGACACTGAAAAAGAGAAACGGGTAATATTGTCCATACAATGAATGCAAAATTGGAAGCATGGGAACAAGAACATGTTTTAGATCTAACTCAAAAGCCACATAGTAGCCTATGCTAAAGGTGTCAAAATGTGAATTTTAAAGTTTATGCTGAACTTTATACTTCAAAATATAATACAGGTCCATTATATACATTTAGGCTTACAAACAAAGGGAKGGAGCAACAAGACTCAAGAATCATTCCACGAAAGTGTTTAAACAAGTTATTCTACAAGTATACTAATTGCTCTCAACGTGATTCATCTAAGGGGGCAGAAGAAAGATATCACACATTGTGACAATAGGGGAAAGGACAAAAGCATTTAATAATTTATCTTTAATCCTAAGTCTGRCGTAATCCTGACCTGACGCCACAAAAGAAAATGAGAACTCCCCTCAATAAAATGGCTGACATTGACCAAAAAGACATGGGCACAAACACAACAACCTCTTTCTTTTTTTCCTTTTCTTTTGATATCCGAGTGTCCACGCCCGCTTGCTCGCACCTCGACTAACTCATAGGAAAACCTCCTAACCCTACTACATTTGGATGTTAACGTAACTCGTATGACATTAAGTACTAAGTAGGTGGTCACAACAATATCTCATTTTCTAAACCAAAAATCATCATGCCACAATATTTTTCAACAAAGTATAAGGTAAAATTCTCAAAATTTCCCATTGGCCTCATATGCTAGTCAAGTATTTCATATTCTATACCAACCGCCAAAAATCATAATAGACTAAGTTCATATAAATCTATATGAAATGGCTGAGTTGATATTTTATTAGTTAACAGAAGCACGACCTTGATAGCCACCGGAGGAACGACCCATGTACCGGCCAAGAGATCTATCATCAACATATCCAGGCCTGCCACGCATATCACGCTCATATCCACCACCATAATCATAACCAAACCTTGGGACAAGAGATAATAGAAAGATAAATAAAACATAAAAAGTACTCAAATGACAGTCTCTAATTAGCATTATTGGACAGAACCTAAAATAGAAATACAATCACTCCCGGTCATAATACGAGAAACAATATTTTTAAGAAAAAACCTTTTATACAAAACTCCGAGTAAGAAAACGCAACCAAATGTTCAGAAAGATAAATAAACAGAGCCAAATCAATACATAAGTAACATTAAAAATACCAGGAGCACTGGGTGATACTCAAACCACAAAAAATTTGTTTCTAATTATAGCATCCTCACGATTATTAATGATTGGAAAGCCTTGATTGTGTAATTTTCCTTTGGGCGGGACTTCCCTCTACCCCAGCCCCTAGGCTGTTATTTCTGTAGCACAATAGAAGATGATCATCATCATAACTAAGGAGCAAACATACAAATAAGGCTGAGGCGTTCATTGTAACAGAAAGTACAACCAAGCCCCCTTAAGTCAAAGGTTAGGCTCCCACATTGGAGGAGGGGGAAGGAGGTGAAAAGAGGGTGAAGAGGCCTTCAGAAACTATGGAACCCATGAAGTAACAGCTCTTCTTGTTGAGACCATTAAGTAAAAATATAAGACCTACTACAACTTGGTATAACAACCAAAACGAAAAAAGATACCAATCTGGGATAAATAGTTTCATAGAAAATTGTCTAGAATGGGGTTTCATTTCTCCGTATTGCCTAAAATTTTATCTTGAAGGTTGAGTGCACAACGCATTTCATCTCATGGGTAGGGTACTTTTTTGAGTTTAAACTAAAATGGTTTCCTGTGGCAATTCGTGGTTTGAACATCACGACCATAGCGAGTCTTTTGTGGCAATGCCAAGTTTGAAGACCTAGTTATGATAGAATTAAAACCCCACAGCCCGGGAGTTACACGAAGATGCTTCCATTTATATGAGAATCGACTATAGAATCCGAATGTCATTTGTCATTTCAAGCATTCAACAATATCAACTGCATATAATTCAGCTCCAAATCTCCACAACTACAAATAAGCTCGACAAATCAAAACAGTTTCCTATCAACTCACCTCCTATCGCCAGGCCCGAAACCTCCTCTAGGGCTTCCCTTTCTTCCTTCGTACCCACCATCATCCCTCCTGGAACGTTTATAAGGAGGCGGCGGAGACCGTCTAGGAGGCGAGTGTCTGCGATCCCTGTAAGGCGGTGGCGGACTAAGACTGCTACGACGTTTATAATCCCTATCTCTGTCTCTATCTCTCTCCCTCGGCGGCAGCGAAGGCGGAGAGCGGTTACGATCATAATTGTCCCCCCGTCGGTTCGGAGGGCGATCAGCGTCTCGGTCGTCTTTCCTATCTCTCTCGTCTCTATCCCGCCTTCTGGAGGGAGGAGGAGCGGCAACCGGCTGCTGCGGTGGCGATGAAGGAGGTTGCTCCTCGGATGATTTCTCTTGCCGCTCGCGACGGCGGTCCAAAGACTCGTCGGCGGCGGCGGCGGCGGTCATGTTCATGACCTCGGCCATGGTTTTACACACCACTTGAAGAAGAACGAAACCCTAGAAAGCGTCGGAGGGGAAGAAGTGAGGTCGAGAGAGTCCGGAGTTTCATTCACTGATCTGACAACGTGAGATTTTGATTCCATGTGGCAGCGCGTATGTTTATGTATGTGTTTGATGACGTGGCGTGTTATGATTCGTGCCACGTGAGCATCGTTATTCCCGTACGTTGGACAGTGTCATTTACGGGCTTTTTCCGTAAATTTCCCTGCTTTTCTTTATCGATCCTTTCCCGTCTAGAAAATTCCAAGGAGAAATTATATTTCTTTTGCCAAAATACCCCTCTAATTGTCCTTTATTTCAAAAAAATMTATCCTTCGATTTTTTTAGTACAACAAATGTAAGAASGAGGGATTGAATCTCTCGAAATGAGTCAAACATCTTAACTGCTTAATTTTTTAGYTATTTTYGTGTTGGCTATTTTTTATTTTCAAAAAAATTCGAAGATAAATGTATTAACTAGTTAAACTATGTTCTAGTTGGTGGCTCTCCTTGGTTATTATAAATTATAATTATATAAAGTTTATTTATAACAATATCATCGTGTACCGAAAAATCATAGTAATTTTGTTCCTAATAATACTAATACTTTAATATCGAGACAATACTAAAATTATTAACAAATGTGATGACTCGCGTAGAGTTAAGATGCATCAATWARYRCKYRWAAGTTCTRATACGCATGCACATATTTATATAAATAATAATTACTGAAGTTGAGATCAGCATAGTTGGATTGATCAATACATGATATTGACTTGTATTGAAAAATTACAATACTTAAGTTTGAAATGTACCATTCGACTTTAGCATTTATGATGCAACTATCAAACGAGTTCGTGCAAAAAAATACTTGTAAATATGAGGTGTGGGCAATAGTCAATAAGGGGAAATGTGATATTATGACCATGGGGTTTAAGCATGGGCAACTAGAGAAAACATGTGATTTATGATGGGGCAAATATTCAATTTGATCTGAATTGAAAAAAAAAATATTCAATTTGATCATAGAGACGACTCGATTATAGAAATCATAAAGCTGAAAACACGATTGAGCAACTTAGATTGAGCAACTTAGTTTTTGTACCTTCACGCCTGTATGATGGATGTTGTTGGGAAATTGACCCTGAATAATTTTTCCTTCCACATAAAATATCCAACACAACCAAGAATATGCAAATAGGAAGAAAAGTAGTAATGAACAAGAAAACGACACAGCAAAATTATACTGGTTCACCATTAGGACGACGTATAGTCTTTCACTCAAATGTGGGCAATTCACTCATAATTGTTTCAGGATTGGAATACAAAACTCTCCTAAAAATAACCTTAAGAGGTCCCAACAAAAGCCTCTAGCTTCTAAATATTTTAACACTATTAATACTTAGGAACATGAATGAAAAACTCACAATAATCAAGATACAAATACCCCAATAATGTTGATCTTGACCTGTCCCAAAGTCTCTGTCAATGCCTGAGCCGCCGACACAAATTACTGCCAAAATACTCAAAAAATTAGCTGCTCAAAGACCCCTTGGCTGGTACAAAACAAATTGACGGCTCTTCCTTGTGTTCCACGGCCATACACCACTGCCAT